CTGTCAACGTGAAACTCTATGGGAAGCGGACAATGTCGCCCAAACCACAAGGTGTACGGTGGGTATCCGGTACTAGCCCGGACCGTGACGTTGTCCGCCCATATTGCGTATCRAAAATATCGTGGCCAWTCAYTGTCCTTACCCTTGCACCMCTTGGACAGTGACGCTATTAGAGTCTGGWRTCCCCTCTCTWCTGGGGAGTTCGACTGTGGGTGATAGGCGGTGGCTATCGAAACTCTCGCACCGGCTCTCCTARRCACGCTCTGAACCTCGTCGGCTAGGAATTCCGCTCCYCTGTCCATCACTATCTTGCTGACACAACCATACCTAGATAAGTATTCTAGGACAAAGTTMTTTACTTCCTCTGCCGCCTTACTCMTGATAGGTCTACCGTCCACGAACCCAGTGAAATCGTCTCGTATGTTCACGACGTAGTTCATATTGCCTACCCCTCTCGGCATCTTCAYTAGATCGATGTGTAYCTTCTCTCCTGGTCTGGTCGGATAGGATGGATGAAGTGGCTCTTTGTATTTCACAAGAGCTCTCTTCTGGCACTCTTCGCATGTCATACAGTACCTCTCGACGTCCTTATACTGTCCTTCCCACCAGTACAGCCGGCGTATCTTTTCGTAGGTTCCTTTAACTCCCCTGTGTCCTCCGACTACCCCGTCGTGAAGTTCCGCAACTATCATTTGTCTCTCCTCAGGATCACAGACTACTCGTAAGGCCATTCCCGACCCTACTAGCCTTCGGAAAAGGTGGCCCGCTCTAAGGCAGTACTGGGCTGGTTGCCTTCGGATTTTTGAATCTTGACTCTCCTCTCCCGTCAGGTGTAGTCCGATCATTCGGTACTTGCCCTCGTAAAGATTAACTAAAAATCTCTCGTCGCGCCTCGGCTCTGCCATTGTCAGAGCCCCAGCTACTATCGGACGCTCGAGAGGGATGCGTGAAAGTCCATCTGCCACAACATTTTTTAGTACCTGATACTCTCTCAACCGTGCACTCGTATAGCCGAATCCGTATTAACCATCGGGCGATGGTCGGGTCCGTCAGACTAAAGTCCTTCTAGAGGGCAGAAGCAACCGCGGTGGGGTCTACTCTCAAGATGAACCGTCGCCCATAGATATAGTGTCTGAACGTGTCTAGACACCGGAGAACAGCTAACACTTCCTTCTTGAATTGACTGTAGTTACGCTCAGCCGTATTAAGTGTCCTACTCTCAAATCTTAACGGTCTTTCCTTCCCTTCAGCATCCTTCTGAGACAGCAAACCACCCACTGAACATGGTCCATCATCCGTGGATACTATGAAGGGTCTCTCGGTCTCATCGTCAAAGAATGGCACGCCCAACACGCGTCCTCCCTCCTTAAATTCGTCTTTAAGTTCTTGCATAGCGAGTTCCTGTGAAGAGCTCCAGTAGAACTTTTCAGTCTTTCGAAGGAGTAACCTCAATGGCTCAGCCTTCTCCGCATACCCCCATATGAATATACGCGAGTAACCGACCACTCCTAGAAATTGTCGGACCTCGGTAGGGCTATGCAACGGTGACGGCCAGTTCAGAAGTTTGTCTAACTTCGCCGGATTTGCTCGGCGCCCTCTTGAGTCACAGATAAAACCCAAGATCTTAATAGCCGAGACGGCCCATCAGCTCTTGGTTCCGCTGACTGTCAAATTCGCATCGTCCAGCTGCTCGAGTACCGCGCAAATATCTTTTAGGTGCTGCTCGACGAATCTTCTAACTCCAGGTGCAACCTCTGTCTCATCCCTGTCTACTGACCCTTTTATAGGAAAGTCATCCAGGAAAACTTCAACCTTATCAGGGATGAAGTCCTTGAGGAAGGCTACCATGGCTCTCTGAAAAACGGCTACGCCATTAGTCCACCCCATAGGGACAACCATCATCTGTATTAGTCCCAATGGCGTATGCATAGCCGTGAGGTGTCTGTCCCTAGGGTCAAGCGGTACCTCATCATAGCCTGAGAACAGATCA